ACAATTAAGTCAAAAAGTAAAAATATTTACATTCAATGCAGCTTTGTAGGCGAAAATTGAAGAGCCTTGCGTGGGGTTGCTATTGGAATACATATAGCATGTGTTGGTGGTACCACAAGTATGATCACCGAAGAATTGAACATTAACCGAATTTCCATCGACAGAAAGCACCTTTGCTGGCCAATAGACTAGCTTGAGTCCACCGTCCGACTCATTCTTCGCCCAGACAATTATATGTAGATTTGTACAAACCATTGTGAACCAATTTTTTGGATGATTGTTTGCGTTCGCGTAACATTCCCAACAGTTTAGCAGGGTAGTAATTTCATGTTTAACATACACGACCAGCAAACTGGCTGCTTTTGCTTTTTCGTTGTTCTCTTCGTTAAACTTAACTGTAATGAAATTGGATAAAATGATATTTCCATTTGATGTTGATAATCACTGAATGTGATTTACCCCAGCATTTGTGATTAATCCACTCAATATCGACACGAAATTCGGCTAAACTTTTGTACATTTTAATGTTGGCCTTAATCATCATGAGATTAACTTCATTTAGCACAGCATTTTCTCCAAAGTCGGGTTTCCTTAACACTTCGAACTGCAAGAAAAATGGCACCCAAATGGTTATTTTGATACTATTATCAATCTCTTGTGACCCTTACCGTCTTGTTCGAGAGCACACGTTTCATAATGATCGGTAACAAACGTAATTCTTCGATACTGATAAATCATAAAATTTATGAAAAATAATTGTTCCGTTCTACAATAAGGTACTTAAAGAAATATGAAATATTAAGAAATCAATACTTGACGGAATTTTCAGCTTCTTCTAATTCAACGCATACGGAACACGACCAATTGACTGGGTTGAGGGTTTTTTGTTCAGCTGTTGTCAAACAAAGGCCATGAAATGAGCGCCCACACTTGCGGCAATTGAATACAGTGTTTGGGTAGTTGCATTTCCAACAAAATGCATCCCCGTCGATTGGTTTGGCCTAAATTCAAGAGAAATAAAAAATAAAAAGCAATGGCGGTATTAAAATTCGAGAACATTTTTTATAATCTTAGCAAGCAAATGGAGGTTTATTTTCAATAAAATATTATTTATCGTAACCCAATGCATTTGATCGGTGTTTCCTAAACGGAATTTCGGTGATTGATGTGGCTTTCAATGGAATTATTTGCTTCAATTGTAAGGTAAAAGTTTAATTTGATAAAAATGTATCACACGTGTATTCAATATAGATTTGTACTGTGTAATGTACCTGCTCTTTATACAAGTTGAACTTTGACATTTTGCACTCGCCTGAGTGCATTCAATGCTATGCAATTGAATTCGCCAAACTTTCGAAAATTCAGAATTATTATCTTACGGGAAACTGGAATCTCAAAACAAAGAAAGCCAAAGTATTATTACATTGCAGTTTGAGTTTTGTTTGGCAGGATCAAAACTTCTGAGCAGGGGTTCGAGGGGTTGGATTACTCCCTGGAGAACACATTCGGGAATTACCCCCTTAGAAATTTCATTTTTTTGAGAAAAGAAGACCTTTTTTTTGCTCTTCACTTTCTAAAACGGGAGAAAGTCTTTAATTTTGCTAGGGTTTTTGAACAAAGAGAAAATTCTTTCAATTTGCTAGAGTTTTTCGAGGCAAATGCTTTGAGACACCCCCCCTAGGAATGAACTATTCAAAAATGCATTTAGACCAAATATTGAGACCAAATAGAAAAAGTTACCCCTTTACATTTTTGGAAAGTTTTGAAATTACCTCCCCCTTGGATCGCCAACTCCAGAAGCTATGGGCAGGATTAAGATGATTTGGTCAGTAAAAGATGTTAAAGAGTTTTATTTGATTGAGAGAGAAATCTTTATTGGTGGTTTTTTATACAATATTATTATTTCAGTCATTTTGTGGATTTTATTGCGAGATGCCATCGATTTACTTGTCAGTCTTGTTACCAGTTTTGAAAATTGATTTCCTTGATTTTTCCCTATAATAAATGAATCGAAATAAAGCATCCTTTCAATCCAGAAATTACACCTTCGGCCCTTCATTCAAAAGTTTAACACTCACCACAAACGCAGCTGGCATTGTTTGTTGCACAAGAAAATTCCCAACGATTGGATCTTGCCACAAACAGCGCAATACTTCTTTCGTTTTGCATCTATGGCCGCAATAAATGTGTCTTTTTTTTCGATCACTTTGCTCAACTCCTTCATTGCAGATGTAGCCTGTTTTCTATCTTCGTCTCTCGATAAAATTATACTGTTCTTTTCTTCGATCATTTGCACCATTTGTTGTTCCAGATTCTTGTTGGTTTCATTCAATTGGCCCATTTGTTCAAGGAGATCCTGATTATGTTTTTCGGATGTCATCAATTTTGAATCTGCCAGTTTTCGTTCACTGTCCTTTGCATCAATTACGGCGTCCTTTTCTTCGATAATTTTCTTCAATTCAGATTCGATATTATTTCGTTGATTGTCTTTTATCGCAATTATTTCGTTAATCATCGAAATCTCCTCCCTTATTGCGGATAAATTTCGATTACCCAAATCGGTCAACGTATTTGTCTGTGTTTCCGAATCTTTGTGTAACTTTTCAGATTGTTCCACTTTTTGAAGCAGGTCCCGAGCAAAATTTTCAAAATACATCATCCTTTTCTTCACCGATTCGCATTCGTCCTCTTTTTCCTTCAATTTTTTAAGTAATTTTTCATAATCGCCAGCGCATTGATGCATATTGTCTTTGAAAGCCGATGTAACAGACGCGTTTTTTTCAGAGTTTCTTCTTTGCTTTGGAGTCATTTGCACGATATAGGAATCAGAACTTGTTGAGCCGGAGTTCACTCGATTCTCCACAGAATTTGTGCCATTATTAGGTTGCAGCAATATCAATCGGTGGTTTTCATCCGTTGTTTCATTAGAACTTGGTCTTTTCAAACTTTGGCGTTTTTGGCAAGTTTTCTCATCAGATTCATTCAATGTGTTTTGATTGGAATCTTTGTCGATGTGTTCTGAGTTTGGAATGTTCTGCGAATGATTTGGATTGTTGTCTGCAACTAGTGGTGTATTCATATTAACGATTTCAACATCGTTTTCATCTTCTGTATCGCTTTCTTCAGAGGAACTGATATCTATTACTAAATCTTTACCAAATCCAGGCACCATATCATTGAAGTGACGATTACTTTCAGCTGGATTAAACAACGTTTTTGGTGGAGCCATCACAAATGAACCATAATGATTACGAATATTTTTAATGTATGCAGCCGCTTCCTATAAATTCAATCGAAAATTTACAAACAGTGAATGCAGAAAGGTAATTAAGTCACAAATTTAAAATATTTACATTCAATGCAGCGTTATAGGCGAAAGTTGAAGAGCCTTGCGTGGGGTTGCTATCGGAATACATATAGCATTCGTTGGTGGTACCACAGGTATGATCACCAAAAAATTGAACATTAACCATTTTTTCATCGACAGACAACATCTTTGCTGGCCAATAGACTCTCTTGAGTCCACCGTTCGACTCAATGTTCTGCGCCCAGACAATCATATGTAGTTTTGTACAAACCATTGTGAACCAATTTTTTGGATGATTGTTCGCATTTTCGAAACATTCCCAACACTTTTGCAAGGTTCGAATTTCATGTTTTACATACGAGACTAGCACACTGGCTTCTCTCACTATTTCATTGTTCCCTTCGTTATTAAACTTAACTGTAATGAAATTGGAATAAAGTGATACTTCAATTCTTGAAAATATTCGATGATGATAACTACTGAATGTGGTTTACCCCAGCAGTTATGTTTAATCCACTCAATATCAACACGGAATTCAACCAAACTTTTGTAAGTTTCAATTTTGTCCTTAATCATCGTAAGATTAACTTCATTTTCTCCAAATTCCAAATTCATCAATGTTTTATACTGCAAGAAAAGTGGCACCAAAATGGTTATTATTATTTTCGAACTATTTTGAATTTATTATCACTTTTACCGTATTGTTTGAGAGCACACGTTTCATAATAATTGGCAGCATACGTAGTTCATTGGGACTAAAAAATTAGAAAATGTACCAGAATAATAACAAAACACAATCAAAAGTGAAATAAAAAAACTCATTACTTGACGGAGTTTGCAGCCTTCTGCAATTCAGAACATACGGTACAAAGCCAATTCGTTGGAGTGGCATCACTTTCCTCAAAGGTCAAACATCGACGGTGAAATGAGCGTTTGCAATTGCAGTGGAAGGAAGCAGTTACAGTGCTTGGAAAACTTTGATGACATTTCCAACAAAATAAATCGTGTTCATCATTGGAGTTGGCCTAAATTCAAGAGAAATATAAAAAAAAAACAGGTTTGATGGTCGTTTTGTCGACTAAGCAATTATTTCTTGATTTACCTTTGTAACCTCATCCATGATCGAAATGGTGGTCGATGAAACGAACTTTGTATCTTTCTTTATAATAAAACTTAAATTCGATATAAACGTTTAACGTTCTAAGTGTGTTTACTGTACAGTTGATGCACCAATAACGATAACGAACTATGCTTGCTCCTGATGTTTGCACGAATTAACCGACATATTTTGACATTTCCCATTGAATGCATTCAATCCCACGAAATTTTTTACTTTTTGAAATAGAAAATGTTGTTACTTCCGAAATATTCATTTCTAGCTTTTGAGAAAACTGACTTTTATTTCATTTTTTTCATTTGTGACTGTGTAAGTGCCAAATTGTTTTTTGCGTAACTTGAAAAAAAAATTATTAAGCGTGGCCAAATTTGAATATCGAACGTCTATATTGACCACACCAAGAAGCACCTCAAAGTTCTATAAAAATTCAAAGTAAACTTCAAGTATTCTTTCTCACAGTAAAATTCAAAGGATAACTTTCAATTTTGATTTTATAGACGATACTCCCGAAGTAGCACAGATTTCAAGGAGTTTGATTGTCGAACATTGGTCACCGCTTCAAAAAATCGTCCAAAAATGGCTAACGTATATTGTCAAATAAAAGATCTAACGATGAGTTCACACTCCTTTTTCCTCAATACACTGATCATCGCAAAATCAGAGCAAAGGCTGTTCGCTCCTGGTCGGAATGGTGGTGTTATCACATTCACCGTACGCGATACAAAAGATCATTTCATCAATTGCACAGTTTGGGGTTCGGAGCAATTCATCAAGAATTGTGCTCGCGCCTACAAAATTGGTGACATCATTTCCATTTATCAGGTTAAAATCATACATTTTATTATTAATATCAATTTATTACTGAAGTTTCCGTCCAATCTTTTTTTTGCGAATTTAATTCGAGATATTTTTCTAGCGTATATTTTTCATTCTTTAAAATCTTATTTTTTCGCTCGGTTTCATTTTAGCCAAAAGTTTTGCTAAAGAACAGCGGTAGCAACTATAATCCACGTACTACATCGCCATTTGAACTGAGTGTGAATGAAGGCAAATCGTACATACACCGTGCCATAGAACAAACGGACTACTTACTTCGGCTTCGAAATCAAGCTGTCAAACCGACGTCGTTGGCCCTTAAATTGGACGATCTTGTGTGCCGTCCTGGATCGGATTCAGTCACAGCAGATGTGGTGGTTTTGGGTAAATATTTTGCCTCTAAAATTTAATGCAATTTTACTTTTCGTTTTTGTATTTTGTAGTAAGAGGTGTAGAGCCGCCGCGATCAGTACAAACGTGAGTATGAATATCTAATCTAGCCTAAAGTTCTTTCAATTAATGTTCTGAATTTACAGAAAATTTGGTGAAAAAACGGTGCGCAAAGTCTGTTTAATGGATCGAACAACGGAATTAGTGTCGATGGTCGTTTGGAATCCAGAATATCAAGCACGAATGGAACTCTGGAAGCCAATGGAAACAATTTTGCAATTGGTGGATATTCGCTTTGAGTACTCGTCTTTCGAGCGATCAACGGTGTTATCAATTACTTCCCGAACGATTATCATCGAAAATCCAGCGAATTCGTCACGTTCCAACGAGATTATGGCGCATATTCACTCAATTAGTGTGGAAAAATACAACGAATTGAAGAGTAATAAACAAAAATCCATCGGACCCGATGCAATCAAAGATGTGATGTCAGTGCATCGTATTCGTGACGAAATGGAACGTGATCCGACCAAAGAAATAGCAGCCATTGTATATGGTGTGATTACAAAATTTGATATCAATGCTGCAATTGTCAAAAGCTGCGTAAATTGTAAAAAGTTGCTTTTGAATCGCAATGAATGCGGAATGCCCAATTGTGACTCGATACAGTCGAACGGACCGAGATATGTGGACAAAGTTTATATGGCCGTTTCAGTAACCGATCATTCTGGCACTTTGAACTGTCGCATTGTTGATGAACACGCTCAACACATACTTGGTCATTCGGCACAAGGTCTTAAATCAATGGCTGAAGATGATGTCGATGCCATTTTCAATAAATTCATACTGGAACGATTCGCCGTTAAGTTAATCGTGCGATTCAAATCAAAAACCGAATACTTTGCTAGCATTGTTAGCATCGAGACACACAACTCACACGACGTGGCAGAAGTGTTGAAGCCATAGACAATCAACAATTTTCCTTCATGCTTTAAGATTTTTTTTTACTTTTTCAATGAAATACTTTACCTTTTGCTCAATTGTACCTATTCAATTCATCTGAAATTCAATAATTGTTCAAGAAACTTTATACACCCTGACAATTCCAGATTTGGAAAAAATAATACAAAAAACATCTTTTATTTCGGCAAAATAAAGTTAACATATTTAACGAACTAATGTTTTTTTTTTGGTTATAGAACGGAACTTTTATATTAAATAAATGTACCTTCAGAATAAATATTAATGAAAACGGAAAAAATTCAACTATAAAAAATGAAAAAAAAAGCGAATGTTTGTGATGAAGTAGTTAGATTACTCCGTTGTTGTTGCGAACGATCAGGTTCTTTAGTCCTGACGACTTTTCAATCGGGCATTTTCTATGTATACATTTTCACAGCTGGTGCTGCAAAAGTATTTTTCACCACGCAATGAAGTACCGCATTCTGTGCACATGACTTCATGTTCGGTCACGAAAATTTGATATTTCATATTCTGGATTTTATCGTCCAATTCGGCGATATCATTTTTGAGTTTGGCCTTGGTTTCTTTCAAATCTTTCAAACGAATCAAAGCGTCCAATTTATCTTCGTTCATTATTTCAAGTCTGGCCTTCATTGTGCCAATCAATGCACGAGATGTGAATGGAGCATCGCCGGCTTCAGCATGTAATATGTTGCCAGAATCGTTACCACTACCATTCGTATCGGCCGTATTATTTTCGGTGTTTGTTGTCAATTCTTGCACGTCACGTCGTTCATTGTCGTCTTCGTCTTGTGAACCTTCTTGTTGTTGCATACCGTTTGTTGGTTGTGATTCGATTTGTTTATCTCTGTTGACCTGTGATATTTCGACGTCATTATCTTCTTGCGGATCAACATTGGGCTCACCTTCTTCTGGCACCTTGTCTTGTGTCATTTGCATGTCATGACCGTCGCCAGTTTGTGATTGAACTTGCTGTTCATTGTCATCTGGTACCTTATCTTGTACATTGGCTTGTACCAGATTTGGTTCCGTTTCATTTTCATCGTCTTGCGATTCAGAATTTTGAGCTTTGTCCTGTGGCATTTCGGTGTCCTGACCATCGCCTTCTTGTTCTTTATCTTCGACCACATTTTCATTGACCTGTGTTTCGTCCTTTTGCGATGCGGCCTCTTGCTCGTTGTCAGCATCCATCGTCTTCTCTTGCATTTCGTTTTCTGAAACGTTGCTTCCGTTCAACCCATTCTCTTCTTCGTCAAATACAATGTCTTGAGTTTCGTCGTCTTCCAATTGACCATTGTTTTCTGTATCACCTTCGTACACAACTGAAGAACGACGATGCTTCTTGTTTGGGGAAAAAACTTCTTCCGATTCAGAATAAACCGACGACGAATCTGAATCATCATCATTTGGTTGTTTCTTTCGCTTGGCCTCATTTCGGCTTTGATCCATCGAAGTCGATTCTTGTTTGGACATATCAGTTGTTGAATTTGCGTCAACTGTTAAGTTCAATGCTTCTTCGGCACTATTTACTGATTCATCATCCGATGACGATATTTCAATTTGAAAATTTTCTTGTGATCCATCGAATGCACCGGGCATCATTAGTTTTAATTGGGCTTGCCAATTGTCAGCACTAATGGGCACTTTCGATGGGAACGGAACAAATGAACCATATCTTGCCTTGACATTTTCAACGTGGACATCCAGTTCCTATTGAATTGAAAAAAAAAAAAAATATTCAATTGGAAGTGAAAAAAAAATGTTAACATTTAGTAGATTTCTATTTATCTCTTACGTTGAGCGCTATTTTCAAGTTAAGTTTTCGGGTTTTTTGGTGGGCCATCGCATAAGTGTACAAATAACACTTTTCAAATGGGACATCATCTTCCGTATGGTCACCAAAAAATTCAACATTCACCACATTCTCTTCGACTTTCATCACTTTAGCTGGCCAGGCAGGGTAATTTTCCAGTTGGGCAAATACCTTTATTTTTAAGATTAAGTTTTTGTTTTATATTTTTTATTTAAAAAAATAGATTTAGTTTATTACCAACAAATGCGGCTTTGTGCACACCATTGTAAAGTAGTTTTTCTCATCAACAAAGTAATTCTCGAAGCAATCTGGGCACGTTTGAATGCTGTTCACATCACGTTTGCACCAATCGAGCAATGCCTCTACCGCATTTTGAATAGTGATAGTTTCTGCAATTTGTTGAAGACAGATTAGACTTTGTTATGTACCTTAACAACTAAAATGTGTTGTGTCAAACCAAAATTCATACACACAAACACTCGTTTTATCTTTTTTTTACCGTAACCAAGATAACCTTAAATTCAATGCAAATCGACCTACTTGGATAATGGGCATTGTAGCACCGAGACAGTTGCTTGATATCGTCCATGAATTCTTCCAAATCGTTGTATTGGTATTTCTGAACCTTGGATTGGATTCCTTTTAATCCATCGGTTTCAACATTATCATCGTCGTCCAACAATTTCTTCCACAATTTTTTATACTGAAATATTTTTTTTCCACAAAACATATACGATATAAGAGACGACATCATCTTTTATGCAAATGATTTCACAATCATTTCATAGAAAGTTCTTTTGTAAAAACTAATGTAATTTTATTGCATTTCATGTCCAAACACCAAAGAAAATATATCCCAAATTGAGAGAAAAAAAATTGTAAAAAACTTACTGTTTTTGCATTCATAATTTCATCCATGGTGTGATTCAACAACCGCAATTCAATGTTTTGTGTTGAATCCGCTACACTCGGTTTTTCGCGATTATTCACGTCTTCAACATCTTTTACTACTGTAACAGCAGTGCTCATGATGAAAAATTATCAATTTACCTTTCGATCGAATTAATTTCAATTTAATTTGATTTGGAAATTTTCAAACTTTTTTGTTCGACGATAATAACAAGACCAAAACGTGTGCACACTCTACGAATTCTGTTGAAATAATGACGAACGCTTTGTGTTTGACAGCCAAATAGCGCCAAACTAATGGATGCGTCCAATGTGGCAACGCTGTGATTGTACAATTAATCGAAAGAAAATGGTTTACTGTTTGAAGAAAAAAAAATGCGAAAGAGATATAAAGATTAAAAAATAACATTTTCTTCGAATATCGATGAGAAAAAATCGAAAATAAATTTTTTCATGGAATTTTTTTGACAAAATTCATTTTTTTTTCGCTCATGATTTTAGTATATTCGCACCTAAATTGTGACCCACCCATAATTGTGTATATAAAAAAAATTCGCTCACTGTGAACGATACTTCTACGTTCTGTTGAACGAACTTTGACGAGATTGGACCCACTTGCATTATCAGCACAAAAAATGGTGAATTGACATTATTTACAATAGCGTCATTTGTATAGCTCTTCTAAAACATTTATCTAAAAAACATTCATTAAATAATCTATTTGTTTTAATTGAACGACATTATGGATCAGTTGAGTCCACTAAGTCTCTTGAAACGAAGCTGGGATGGTATTGGCATTATCCAAAATGGCAAGGTGAGGCTGTAGAAAATGTGTTTTGGTCCATAGAAAATTGGTGCTTGATTTACGATGGAAATTTATTTCAGTTTGGGGATCTAGAGGATCCATTGGATGCATACGATACGTCGGCCGGTACAATTGGATTGCGTGCAATTAGCGAAAAGTTGGGCATGTATACAAATATTGACGAATATTTGACGGACATCGATAACCTAGTTGACAGCTATTTGGCGAAGAACCCAGGTACATCGACTCTCTCTTAAAATGTGTCACATTCTCTCCTTCTCTCACTTTCTTCTTTCTCATTTAATCCTTAGTTCTCTCTTCTTCCTTTAATCTACAAACTGAAGCAAACATTTTTCAATTTCAGGCAATTATCATATCAAGCATATCACCGACCAATTTTTAGAATTGTGCAAACGTGAGGTCAAAAACATTAGTATGTGCCCAGATTGTTATGACATATGGTTGACAAGTAGCAGTTCCGACTATTTCACAAAGGTTTGCAGTAAACCTCATTTGTTGGTGTTCGTCAATTTGGATGACAGTCCCCTCTGGCCAGCAAAAGTCATGGAACTAAACGGGACTGTAGTGACCGTTGTTTTCTTTGGCGACCACACTCAGGCGGATATCTTGGCTGATAAGTGTATTTTGTATCCAGAACGATTTCCTGGTCGCCAAGTCAAAAATGAAGACATTTTATCGGCAAGAGAGGTGAGCGTTAAAGAGCCACCTTTATGTCATTTAAATAAGTTCAATGGTTTGCTTTATTTTCTCACCAGGAGCTGTCGAAATATATTGAAAATGTCAAAGAAAGATTCGACTTCGTACCAACAATCTATAAAACCATGCTGATTCCGGAAATATATGAAATTCAGCGATCATGCATGTTTCCCACATGCACTTTTGATAACAACCGAATGTCAAGTTGGCCCGAAGCATCCACATCACAAGCGACCGTTCGATCTCAAATTGGCGTTGAAGCCGAATCGGACATCCAGCCATCCTTGGAGCGCGAGATTCAACGAGCACGCAAAACATTTTCAAACAAACCAGCGCGCAAAAGTATGTCAACTCAACTTGGGCGCAAAAGTTTTCCAACTTCAGCAGCAAGTGAAGTGAAGCCAACACTAATCGATTTGCAAATGATGCTTTTAAAAGCTGACCAGTTGGAGAGAGAGCGAAATGCAGCACAAGAGCTTGCCGAGCAATACAAAAAAGATATCATCGAGTTGAAGCAACAATTGATGTCAGATCGCGGACCAAAGTGCGCAACATGTGAAGAAGCTATTGATGGACCGGTTTTCTGTAGCCAAAACTGCCAATTTGATTACAACTAAAAAATATTTACCACTTTCTTATGACCTCTGAAGAAATGTGAACTTTTCAATAAATTCCATAATTCATTGAACATTGATTGCGTTTTTTACACAAAATGAATTTTGCGGAGCTTATCCAAAATATTTAAATGTAGTTTTAGTTCGAAAGTAGGGTGGAACATTTTTGGCACAATTTTATGGCCACTTGGGAAAACATTTTTTTTTTCAAGAGCGTAACTTTATTTTATTTTTGCTTAAATCTAGTTACAAGATATGTTTTATGAACTAATTCTAATGAAAATGTTGATGTTTGCTCGCAAACTTTTTGGTTCGGTATTTATTAATTTAATGTTTTAGTTTTTAATAAATACGGGAAAAGAAAAAGAAAAAAACCGTAACTATATCTATTGGTGTGTGATATAGGCCATCTTGTCCGATCTGTTTTTGTTGTAAAAAAGTAGCTTGCCGTCAAATTCGAAAACTTGGGAAAACATGTCTTATAGTCCTTAGATTCGAGATATGAAGGAATTTTAAAAAATTTATTTTTTTCCTCAAAAACCAAAAATCGAAAATTTTGTATGGGAGGCACCTTTATTTTTGTTTGAAATTTCATGAAACTTGGTTATATTACTTATTTTGGTCAGAAAATAAGATTCACAAGTTTTCATGGTGATTGAGTTACTGCAATTTTTCATGATTTTCCAGTAAAGTGTACCTCCTTTCCTTTCAAGTCGCTGTCTTATATGAAACCGCAGGTTGAAAATTTCTTCATATCTTGAATCTGGGGACTATAAGACCAAGTGGCCATCAAGATATGCCTCGAAATTCAAAAAAATATTCCACCCTATGGAAAGTCATTTCCATTTGATAAATAGTAGATTTGTATCAATCGAGTCGATTGAATCGACTATGGTTACATAAAGTTCTAACTATTTTGAAGGTATTTTTATGCGGAATTGACTATAACCGAAGCTATATATGTTATTAGATTAGATTCTATATTGAAAATATGAAATTGTCCTTTGAGCATAAGAAAAGTAACGAAACATCATTAAACGAACTCAATTCATATTTACACGGAACGCGATGAACCGTTGAGCTGTCAAATACCAATGACATTTATCATAGAGTTTTCGCGAATATTCTTTCGATCCTAGTTCCACGTGGTATTGTTTATTTTCTCTGGAAAAAAATATCACCGTTTTAGTAAAAACCAAATTATTTTCAGCTATATAAAGTGAAAGCCAAGTGAAGACACAATGAATACACCGATTGTTCGCCAAATCCAAACATCATCCAAATCGGCTGCTTTGCAATTACACAAAAATCAATTGCGCCTATTGAAGTACAGTTTGATAAACATCATGCAAATGGAAGAGGTAAGAGTGTCACTTCATTTTTCAAGAGATTGGTGCTGTGTGGAAACCACATTTAATTTGGTATTTTGTTGCATTGCATATTTTCTAGTACAACATTCTCAAAAATGGAATTTCATCGCCACATTCAATGGTTAGTACGATTGGTCTGAATGGGATAGCACGCAAGTTTGACAGCTATGCCAACGTTGATGAATTTTTGGCGGATATCAAAGCGTTGGTTCGAAGCTACTACATTCATTTTGGGAGTAAGTATCATTATTTCGCCACCATAAAACCGGATTCTTAACCGATCCTATGAGGTTTATTTATTTCGTCCATCACAGCTGAAGGAGGGGTTAAACATGTCATCAATCGTTTGTCTGAATTGTGCCATCGCGATGTAAAGAGTATTCGGACATGCCCCGAATGTTTTGAAAACTGGGCTACCGATCACGACAATTATTTCGTTAAAGTATGCACAAAACCGCATCTAATCATTTTTAGTAAAGGTGAGTTTCGCGTGCTATCTTTTACATTTTTGTAAATTAATTTTACTGTATTAACCGTTATGGCCAAAGGAACTCACTTTCCGTACTGGCCGGCAAAGCTTATGTCAATCACTGGTGCCATGGCAAATGTCGTGTTTTTTGGTGATCACACTCAAGACGATGTACCAGTGACTCAATGCATTTTATATGCACAACGAAATCCCATTCAAAGCGCACAAACCGATGAATTCAACAATGCTCTGATGGTAAGGACAAAGTCTTATTCAATTGGAATTGCTTTATTTAACAATTTTTTTTTTGAACAGGAGCTCAATGTTCATATTCGAAATGTTGTCGAAAAATTCGGCTCATTCAATCCAACTGAAAGTAAGGTGATGCTAAATGCTCAGATGCTTGAACAAAGCTTGATGTCCATGTTTCCCGGTGCATACAAGCAACGTTTTATAGTGCGTTCAATGGGTTTTCAACACGATACAAATCAATTTGCTGGTCCAAGTCCATTAGGGCCATCGTCATCAAATGATGTACCAAAGGCGATTCACTTGAAGGCACTACCCAAATCAGTGCACGTCAACAGAGCAGATGCCAACTCTGATGAATCGAAAGCCAAGGCTGGTCAATTGAAGAGAAAGCGTGGAGCACCACCATCCGTAAGCCAGGTGGAATCAATGCCGACTCAGACAATCTCCAGAAGTATCATTGGGGACGATGTAAAAATGCATTTTGAAGCATTGTCACGTCGAATCGTCGAATTGGAAGACGAAAAAACTCGATTGGCACAACAATTAACGGTGCTTAAAGAACAAAGCAACGCAAAAATAAAGAAGAAAAACGATAAAATACGGAACTTAAAGCGAATGGCCGATTTCATCCAATGTGGACATTGTCGTGAACGTATTCCGTCGCCGGTCTTCTGCGATCGCCGTTGTGAATCGCTTTACGAGCCAGACGATAATTATTCGATCAGGGAAAAGGATACTAGCGATTCAGACAGTGACTAAGAACGATAAATAGGACCAATCATAATATATTTTCATTCAACATTCACTCGATTATTTTTTTCACTTTTTTTTATTTCTGTTTGAAACATAAATAATTCTATGACCAAGAGAATTTTTGGACTTTTACGTATTCACCCATTTTATTTAAACTGAAGTCTTCGAAAAATGTTGAATTTACATGAAACTTCTGTTTTGCATTTCATAAATCTATCTTTAAAACCGAAAATCTATCTTTAGTTGTAGAGAACTATCCGCCAAGTCGAATATAATGGCCATTCTTATTGGCCAACATAATTAAATTGAATATTTTCTGAATTATCATTTTCAAATATTGTTTACCATCCAACAACAGGTATATTTAATAACGAAATTACACGACGTCAGTCTTTTGTGTCATAACTTTGTGTTTTTTTTTACTTTAGGAGAGAAGGAGGTAGCAATCGTAATTCACTTGCTTTTTTGATCATTAATGGGACAAAAACTCTAATAAAGAGGAGTTTTGACTATAAAAATATTCTACAATTTGGAAATGGCGTAATCAATCACAAATATTTGTTTCTCTTCTATTTTTTTTTATTTGTCAAAATAATTTGAATGAAGGTTTTATTAAGGGAATTTATTAATTAACTAATGAGACATTGTTCAATGTTCATGACCTTGAACTTTTTTTACCGTCTACCACAGCTCCAGTCATTAAAGACATATATTGATGCGTCTTCGTTTGTTAACTTGGTATTTCGGTTAAAAAAAAATCCAGATCATTACCTATATGGTGTAAGCAGGTGTCCCTTTTCAAGAAATGTCTTTATCTACCTGCTTACCTTCCAAGACACGTAAAAACATTTCTTTAAATGAATTAAAGAATACCTCAACCCACATCTGATGGTTGAATACAAAACTAAATAATAACCCATACTAATTAGTATTCATAGTTTCTATATTCAGCACCAACGGCAACTGTTGCATGGGCAACAGAAATGACAAACTTAATCTGTCGAGAGTAAATCATTACTGTTTTAGACAACACACGAGTCGGTCGGACTTTTTTTTAACAAATCATCATATTTTACACTCATAGCTTTTTCTCTTGTTTCGTTCACAAAAAGTTTTCCAGTGCTGATTTATTGTGAATTTTTGTGGATCTTTTCGGTAAGTACTTTTGAAAGTGAAAAAGAAATAGTTATTTATTTGATTGAAAACTAAAATTTTACTTATTCGAGAAAGTATTTTAATAAATATTGTGTTTGTATTACTTTAACAGCACCTACCTAGCCATCATGGCCGAAATTACTCATGACAATGATCAGAAAATAGAAACTGATGCCGAGGCTAATACAAACGTTGTATTAGATGAAAGAGAACTTCAGCCTCATATTGATTTAATCAAGGGGAAGAATAAAAAAATGGACAAGAAAATTGCGTTAAAGAAACAATTGCGCTTGGATTGTCGAGAAAATCACCAATCCGATGACTCCAGCAACATCAAATTAATTGATTTTGATAATAAAATGAAACTTGATGCCGATGTTGATATAAACGTTGCTCCGCTACAACATTCTCGAAATAACATTTTAAATGCTCTTAACGATGATTGCATCCAAGAAATGTTTCGTCGGATGCAAAATATCGCTGACTTTTTGAGCGCAGCCGAGGTCTGCGTTCGATATCAGGTAAATGCGAAAGAGTGTTATCCAAAGCGGTTCAAGTACCTCGAAGTCGGTTATGAAATTTTTTATTCACAAAACTCGTCACTCACTTATAATTTATCATTTGAACGTATGCCCAAATTTTTAAGTATTTTTGGTCACTTTCTACAAGAAATTCATTTGTATGGTATTAAAACTAATCAAGCCACATATAACGTGATCGCCGACTTTTGTGGCGAAACATTAAAAGCATTGGAAACTTCACAATGCCAAATTGTTGATTTGCGTACACGATCACCGTTCCGGGTTCTCGAGTATTTTAGCATGTGTGGCGGTGAATTTCGTGGTTTTAATGTGATGCCACCGTTGCAAAGATTGACATTCCATGACATGTACTTTTACGAACTTGATTGGCTTGCACGTGAATTTCCCGAATTGGAAAACATTGAACTATTTTATATTTCGGTCGATACAGATAACGACGTTATAACTGAATTCATACAACTCAATCCACAACTACGACGTTTTCAGTTGAATAGAATGATATTCAATCAATCGATTCTTGATTGTATTGGCAAACGGTTACTATTGCTCGAAAATTTGTCTTTGAACACTAATAAAAATGATATGGATTTTATGGTCTTGAGCGGACTTCGTCACTTGAAAAGCCTACAAATTCACTGTCGTGACATGTCGATTCAAAGCCTACTTGATACCATGGCCGAAAATTGCGTGCCGCTAGAAAAATTGTCTATCAGAATCTTTCCGGGATTTATTGAAAGTTTGGTCAAATTGAAATCGATCACAAAACTTGAACTGTTCCCGGTTTCAGATGAAGAGTTAATGAACGTCGTTCAGAGTCTTCCAGTTTTGAAGCACTTGAACGTTTATTCCTTTAAAGTCACTATCAATGGAATAAAAGAAGCCTTGAGATACGGTCGAAATTTGCAAGAGGTTCGTTTTCTTGGTTCAAATATTAAAAATTCAGACGAATACAATTCAATGTTGGCACTTGCACGTGATAATGATTTGGAGCTGACAATACCATTATCGATTGAGTTCAAAAGGTCAAATTTTTGTATTCCTCTTGATGTTCTACAAGCTAATAAGAGATGGTTGAACACCAGAGTATGATATTTTATTTGTGAAGCAACGTGACTACCAAGCACATACAGAAGAGCGTGGTGATTTTGTAAGGAGCAGCTCCTAGCAAGGGTTTTCCTTGCAGCTCCCACACTTGAGTGACGATTTCATTCATCTGTTGAACACTGATTTGATTTGAACTAAATATGAAATCGTAATCAATTTAAAATGTTCATTTTAGTTTTTAGTACTTCAAATAAATAAATTGTTTATAAACTTTGTTTCGTTATAGGTTCCAATAATATTCATTAATCATTTTTTGACTATTTAAATACACATTTTTTTATACATAATGTTTGCTTCAAGATTTCCTTCAATAAACGATTAAACTTAAAAAATTCTGATCATTTTTTATTTATTTTCTTAAAGGTCTCTATAATAGAGACTCTATTCAATCAGCATTACCTCCTCAAACATCCTTCTTGTACATTTCTTGTCTTGATATCTTCTAGGAGCAGTCATAATGAAAAGCACAATATTTACAATGAATAAAATAAAGATTATTGTCAGACGTAAATAATTGAATACAATGTGATATTAGATTTTAAAAGTGCGCGTGAGTTATTGCGTTCTTTGAACGCCTTGTACGTCCTGTCTCGATGCTAGGATTGGCTTTTAACCATGGGTTCGAGCGGTCTATTCACCCTCCTGGAGAATGGATTTGGGAAATTGCCCCAATTGAAAAAAGTATGAACTTTTAAAACAAAATAAAAGGCCAAAAAAACTGGAGATTTGGATAGAAAGGAGATGGAATCGTGAAAATATGTTTCAATTTGCTGGGAATTTTCGCCAAAAAAAGTGAAAAGCAAAAAAAATAAAGAGGCTTACGTACGCAAGCTGACTTTTCCGCTTGGAACCGAAATTTTGGGAATAAACAGAAAGGATGGTCTATGTATGGTTGCAGTAACTTAAATTACCGTGAAAACTTGTGAATATTATTTTCTTATCAAAATAAATAATCATACTAAGTCTAAAGAAATTTCAATCCAAAAAATAGCCTGTTCAAAGTTTCACATCATTACAGTCAAAGGCAAGTCTTTCATACAAAAATGAATTTTTTTTTCGATTTTTGTATGAAAAGTCTGTGAAAAATTGATTGCATCTTAAAACTAACATCAGATTCGGGTTTCTCGTGCCAAAAAACCCCCACTACACAGTCTTTCAGCGTTCAAATTGAAAGAATATCATTTTAAGGCATTTTTCTCATAAGTGCCTCTACAGAGTCTAAGTTTTACATCGATCAATCAATGTCGTTGAAAATTTGACCAGATCTATTCCTCGTAACGCCCAATCATCCCGTAAAGTCAGATTTTGAATTTCATGTCTGAGCACGAAACCATCGTGTCACCAAAATGGTTGAAAAATGATCAAAAAAGTAAAATGTATGGATTGTGTCCATTCGGACCCAGGACACAGGACAGGACACAGGACACAGGACACAGGACACAGGACACAGGACACAAGACACAGGGCACAGGACACAGGGCACAGGACACAGGACACATCACACACAGCGACGCACATTAATATGCCCCAAAATCATCTCCAATCGTGTTTTCTACATTAAATATGCAAAGAAAACATGTTTTGGGATGACTTTAATTTTTTGGCCTAATACAATACCTTCCCTACACTAGGTGTGCGGAAAAGTAAAACGGAAAAAGCTGGAGATTAAGATAGAATGGTGAAGCTGAAAATTACCCCTTTACAATTTTGAAATTTTTTGAAATTACTTGCATCTTGGAACGCGACCATCATAAATGTCTAAAAATATTTTCCGTTGCTGTCCATCGTTTCTCAGTCAATATCAGTATACACAAAAAGATCATGACTCGTTACAATTGATTTGGTAGCCTCCACCAGTACTTCACAGCCCATTAAAATAAACAGTCGTTACAATCAAACAATATCAATAAAGTAGATGATATTACAATGTATTACTTGTCTGAGTTATTCTTCATATTTTCTTCGACTTTCTCTCGCTCGTCAATATCTTCTTTATAATGTACTTAGTTCGGTAAATGTTTGACGCAGTCAAAATGAAAAGCACAATATTCATAGTGCATATAATACCAAGTGGCAGATAGTAAAAAAAAGCTGCAATTTTCCAATCAAATCAATTCAAATGAGTTCATTCAATATTGAAGATACTTTTCCGGAATGAGTATTACCTTTAGTTGTGTCTGATTGTAGTTTAACGTGTAGATAATAACCAGACATGGATTTTGTATAATGACCGCTAACAATTGAGAGTATAATATCGCCAGGCCATAAGAAAAATTCCCTCATCTCACCACAAAGAATACAGAATCACTTCCAT